AAAAAAATCATTTTATCTATCATTTAACTGAAGCCTTCTTTGATATTTTCCTTACTTGTCCTTATTCTATATTTCAAACAAATGCCACGTTATCAGATCAGGTCATTCCTGTTATGTAGTACAAGTCCCCATATTAATACAATGGACAAACTCACAATTTACAAATGTCACTACTTTGGTTTGGTTTAAGTGGCTGTTCTTTGTTGTCATGTCTCCAGGTTATGAAGTTTCATTCGTTTCATAATTTGTTCCTTTAATGTAATCAAAATGTTTTAAACAAAACGTGACTTCTTTGGAAAAATGTTTCATTTATATATATTTTTAAATAATATTATTTTTATTATTAACACTTCCTTAATGACATAATTCTCCAGGAAGTGATTTTTTTGGGGGGGAAAATAACAGCATACACGAAGAATTTGCATTAAATTTGATGATTTCTGTGGTATTATTCGGATTGTCCTTTAAACATTATATCCCATTTGATCCAATTACAGAAGTGCATTACCCTTGAGGCCTGTGCTGGTTTTAGCAGTGCCGCCGTCTCTGCTGAAGAACAGGCTTCCCGGGTGGATATTAGAGCCAGAGGAAGGGGATTCGTCTTTGACTCTGAACTGACCCAGTTTAGTGAGTTTCTGTCAGGAGAGAGCGAACAGATGTGTAAGAGCTCACGCCGTCAAACAGCGGGACTCTGGAGGAGCAGCACTCACCGGAGGAGTCGAGACGGGACCATCGTCAGCGTCTGGAGGAGCCTGCAGCTTTATGAAGGAGACTCCATACGCTGTGGACTGCACACAAACACACAATAAAGACTCGCTCACACGCAGGAGGGTCTATCACGTTCACCGTGCTGTACGGCTGACTGCACACCATCTTCACACGGTCCCACTTCTCCTGCGCCGTGGCCTTCAGCAGCTGGCTCGGCCCGAAGAAGCGCACGCGGCTTGTGTTCGTGCCGTTGCGGCTCTCTGTGGGCGACATGAAGGACGACGTGACCAGCAGAACCTACAACACCAGAAAGATGCATCAACAGCACTGAAAATGACACGCTATTCAGAATCAGAACACGTTTTATTTGCCTAAATGTGCAGGAGCATACATGAACTAAATAGATCAATACAAGATATAAAAAATAAAAAAAAGTGTACAAAAATACAGTTGACAGCAATGTACAGCGATACAAAAAATAATAATATATATATATATATAATTTACACAAATATATGTACAAGCTGAAGGGTTATTATATTTATTATAATATTTTTGTCACTTGAAATTTTTTTTTTTTATAAATTTTATTTTAGCTGGTTGCCAAAGAAAATTTCAGATTTTTAGTTTTAACATGATGAACTAACATAACTCAAAGTTAAATAATAATAATACATTTTATTTATAATGTGCTTTCCTCAACCCAAAGCGCTACAACAGTGTCACATATAAATACAACTTA